GTGGCAAATACCTGACAATGTTTTGCCCAGATGGCAATCAATCAACTGCACCCCAAATTTAGCCTATCATGCTGAAGTACTTCCGTCCCTATATTGGCAAGTAGTGGATGCTTCAGAACATTTCATCATATAAAAAGTACTTTCTATTGCACTTGGTATGACCAAGAAGAGGGGATAGCAGCCTCCAGGTGAGACCTGGGGATCCCCCAGAATTACCCCTTATCTCCAGACTACAGATATCGGTTCCTTTGGAGAAAATGGATGCTTGGAGAGTAGACTCTATGGCGTTGTACCCCGGTGAGGTCCCTGTCCTCCCCAGAATCAATAACTAAATCTACAGGAGTTTCCAAACCTGGATCTGGGAGCCCTAGCCCCCAATCCCCCACCAGTGGCCAGGGGAAACCTGGCAACCCTACCAAGAAATGGTACCCAGGGTGTGGCTATGCAGATTGGGAGGTGGGGTTTAGGGGCATCTTATTCTATGGGATAAAGGAAGTTTGCTGCAATCTGAGGTGCAGTTAAGAAGATTTAAAACCCAGACCAGACACCAGGGTTAGCAGGGGTGGGAGAGTGGTTCAGCCTCCCCCCTTGCTTTTTAACCATAGGAATGAATATCAGCCACTGACTCTGTCTTTTTATCTCAATTTAAAACAAGGAAGTTAATACCGGCAAAACATAAAAACTATTGAAAATTTGATAATACGAATAACAGTGAGTTAAAGCACACTGAGAAATAAACCGTATAGTAAAAAAGTGGCAGAATAAATTTTAAAAAATCATGTACTAAAATATTAAATAGCTAGAGCAGAGTAGCAAATAAATTATTAAACCCCTCTCTGCATTACTAACCAGATTGAACAGATGATTAACAGAAGCAGTGAAGGCAATGCAAGATACGTGGAAGAAGCTGCTGACCAGATGCCTAAAGAAATCTTTAACAGGCTCTGAAAAGCCATTCAGTGGTGGGTGGAGAGGAGGGCATTTTATTATTGGGGTGCCACTAGGGAAAAGGCCCTGTCTTTAGTCAGGGCTATTTTTGGGCAGGAACGCACAGGAATGGAGTTCCGGCTGGCTCCTGAGTTGGCCACATCCAGCAGGAACTCATTAGCATAATAGGCCACTCCCAACAGCAGAAACTCATTAGGATTGGCTACACTAGGGGTGTGTGGCCTAACATGCAAAGGAGTTCCTGCTACAAAAAAAGCCCTGAGTTTTGACAACAAGGTAAACAGAATAAGAAGCAAAAGGGGTGTGTGGCTGGATGACCACACTTCTGGTAACATGGGGGTGTGGCCTAATATGCTAATATGCTGTGCTGTCAAGGGTGTGGCCTAATATGCTAATGAGTGTCTGCTGTTGGGTATGGCCTATTATGCTAATGAGTTCCTGCTGGGCTTTTTCTACAAAAAAACGCCTGTCTTTAGTAGCCATGTGTAGGATCTCCCACACAGATTGTAACAGTTGCACAGCTATGTGTATTATGGTCTGCCAGTTTCTTGATATCTGCAGCTGTCTGTCTGAGGGATTTCAGGCCTCCCAATATATCAGGAGGCCTCCTTGCAATTCCCTCTGATGCCTGACAGTGCCTCTGGCATCGGATGGAGGAACTGGGGAAAAGGAAGGGCCTGGTGTGCTGCCAGCGTGCCAGCACACCAATGTCATTTCCAATTTAAACAGGAAGTGAATGGGAGACAGTCTAGCATTCTGCAAGTGCAATTTTTTCCCTAGAGCATCCCCAGTGTCATTGATGTCACTTCCAGGTGCACCGGGAGTGATGTCATTGCATTGTTGGCAAAGTCATGACATTGCTAGTGAGGGCCCTCCAGGCGCTAAGCCAGCCCGTGTGACCCTTATTTATGTAATCTATCTAATCAGTCTATCATTTTGTCGGTGGCCTTCCAGACAAGCAACGTAGGTGTCTCAATGTGTCTCGATGCTGCAGATTTAAACCAGTGTCAAATATTTTTTAAAAGAACTTTTCACCTGCAAAAGCAGGACACAGGCAAGTAAAGTGGGAGAAAGGGCTCTTCTTCAGAGCAAACTCTTAGTTGTAGGCAGAATTTACCCACCACTCCTGGTTCAAGCAGGGTGTTGTGGCCTTCACTTGATTGACCAGCTCATCTACAGAGATTTCACTCAGTGTTCTTCCTCCACTGTTGAAAGTTTGGTGGGCGACTGTGAGGCAGGGTCCTTGCAGTGGTGGCACCACGGTTACCAAACGTCCTCCCGAGGAGGGCTCATTTGGTTCTACCCCAACCTGCTGTTAGGTGACAGGTGAAATAGGTTTGTTTTTTAGAGCTTTTAGGGTCACTTTGAGCAGTATAAGTGACTAGGCTCTGAATTCTGACTTTTTAAATTCTGTAGACGGGCTATGGCTCTGTGGCAGAACATTTGCTTGGTGTGCAGAAGTTCCCAGGTTCAATCCCCGGCCTTTCCAGTTTAAAGGATGAGGTAGTAGGTGATGTGAAAGACCTCTGCCTGAGACCCTAGAGAGCCGCTGCCAGTCGGAGTAGACAATACTCCCTTTGATGGATCAATGGTCCAATTAAGTACAAGGTAGCATCACGTGTGTCAACTTTCGCTCTGCCTGTGTGGTTTTTTGTGTGTGTCCATTTAATGGCTTCCTGATGCTATCGTTATTGGCTTGAGGTTTATTATGAGGTAGATCTTTTGGGGTCAGAAATCAAGGTCAAATATTTTTAAATAAGTAACAAGGGTCATCATGATGAAATACAGGCCATGCCTGCCGTCGTGACTGAGGTTTTTCCTAGTATGGAACAAATTTATTTCAGAAATTCGGTCTCCCTGACAGCGCTAAGGTTAGCCGTTAGGGTTGCTAAGCTCCAGGTGGGACCTGGCGTTCTCCTGCTATTACAACTAATCTCTGGACTGTAGAGATCTGTTCCCCTGGAGAAAATGGCTGCTTTGGAGGGTGGACTCTATTGGCATCGTACCCTGTTGAGGTTCCTCCCCTCCCCTCCCCAAGCCCCGCCCTCTCCCCAGGCTCCACCTCCCGACTCTCCAGGTATTTCCCAACCCAAAGCTGTCAACCCAACTATCTATTCTTAGCTAGAACAGTCAGGCCAATGGCTACGATACCTTTTTTTCTTTTTAAGAAATCGGTATTGCGATACCTGTTCTTGCTAGGGCTGCCAAGTTGAAATATCTCCTTACCGGGGGACTCCCGCGCCGCGGCTGGAGCGTGCACATCACCCGAAAGTGACGTGATGACGCCAAGCACGCTGGGGGTGGGTCCACGACCATCCGAGGGAAAACCATAGAGTTTTCCCTTGGATGACCGTGGCCCCGCCCCCAGCGTGCCCAGCGTGGTCGCGTCACTTCCGGGTGACGCGCACGTCGGGGTGGGGTTCCCCCCGGGGCCCAATCTGCCGGTGGCAGGGAACGGGCCTCTGGGATGGGGGTTTCCCTGCCCCCCGGTGGGACTTAGGAAGCCTAGTTCTTGCTGTACAATGAAGCTGACCGACTGGCCCTGATCGTCTCTCATAGGGGGCAATTTTCTGTTGCACAGCTTCAGTAGGCCATTCAGACATTGTAAAAGGTCTTGGGGGGGGGGGACGCCTTGGGATAGGAAGGTAACAAGTTTAAAAGCACTGGAAAGTTGTCCTCAACCTCTTCCCCCAAAGGCTTAGCACAGAGGCAGGTTACGGACAGTGACTGAGCCGGGAGGAGCTTTGCAGAGTTGGAGCACATGGCTGAGCGGCCGCTCTGGGGATGCTGTCCTATCTCTAGGCTGCGTTGGAATTTTTCATCTCCCCAAACCATCCTCTATGTAGATGTCCCTCAGATCCTGCAGATAAAACGAGTCCCTAGGAGGTAGGAACCTTCAGACGGCTCTTGTCAGCGTGCCCACCTGGAGCTCAGCATGTGTGGCCATCTGCAGCTGAAGAAGGCGCTCGGGAAAGGAAAATGTTCCCATTTAGCTGTGGGGTTTATTTATGCATCAACAGGAAGCTGAAGGAAAAGGGAACCCAAACAGCCCAGATGTGCTGCACGGTTGTAGACCGGTAGAGCTAACTTTTTCACGTTTATTTTTCCAGCTGCTGCTTTGCATATCGCACAGAGGGGAATATGTGTTGGCCTCCCTTTGCATGGTAGTTTGTGTGTGCGCGACTGAACAACAGCAAAGAAACCGACTGCCGGGTGGAGCTATGACAATGAGGGGCGGGGTCATGCAAATCACAGTAGATTTGAGGCGGGATGGATTCTGCTGTGTCGGAGCAGGCTGCAGGGGACAGCGCTGTCTGGGGATGTGCCAGCACTGCTGTTCCCTTGAAACTGGGGAAGTGGAGGGAGCAGATTGCCCTGACTTTACCTTCTTGCTTTCACACACACTAAATAATGCACTTTCAATCCACTTTCAATGCACATTGCAACTGGATTTTGTGAGAAATGGTAAAACCCACCTGCAAACTAGGGATCCCAAGTCCCCCCGGGGGGCAGGGAACCCCCCGCCCCAAAGGCCCGTTCCCCGGCGCCGCCGGATCGGGCCCCGGGGGGAACTCCACCCCAATGTGCGCGTCACCCGGAAGTGACGCGACCACGCCGGGCACGCTGGGGGCAGGGCCCAAACAGTTGCTGCAAACGGATTTAGTAGGTGTGAAAGGGCAGTGGGTAGAGTGAGTGGGGTTAGAATCTGAGGGACTCAGGTTCAGATCCCCATTTTCCCCTGAAGCTCGCTTGGTGACACTGGGCCAGTAACTCTCTCCCAGCTTACCCTAGCTCACGGGGTTTGCGGTCAGGATAAAACGAGGAAGGGAGAACTGCGCTCCTCTTTTCAGGAGGAAGCAATGGATGAGGCCACATGTGTATCGCGGAGCCGAGTGACCTTTGCAACGCTGGCTGGAAGAACCACAGGAGCCACTCAGCTTGGCTTGCTCCGCGGCCGTTTCTCCTCTCCAGTCTGCTCCTCCCCGCGTGTCACCTTTGTCCTTGGGCTCAGACAACCTGAACATTTGGTGTTTGTTTGTTTGTTCCAACAGGGTTTGATGTCCTAGCTCAAGCTTCACACTACTGGCCTCTGGGGACCGTGGAAGGAATCCATGAGTTGCGGGACACAAATGGAGGTAGATCCAAGGAACTGTGACCCTGAGAGTTACTTGCGACCTTTGTGAAAGAATGTGAAGAAAGTGGAGCGGAGAAGTGAAAGCTGTCAGCGGCCTCTTTCAAGCTGTGCCAGATCGCATCCTGTGCCTCTTTATGCAGCAGCAAATACTTTGGAACCCAAATGTTTTGCTTTTCCTCCTTTTTTTGTGTTTCAAAGCTGCCTGCCTCAGCCTTCTCTAACCATTTAGGGGTGACCCGTACACAGCTAGAATTGTAACAGCAGGGAGAGGAATGTCATGTTCCAAAGTGTCACTGGCAAATCAAGACATCCTCCACAGCTTTGTATGTACAATGAATGATACGATGGGTTGAATTTAGGGGTGTGCATTCGGCATAAACTGAGCCGAAAAAATGCCCAGAAAATACCTTACCAGTATTTTTAAGCCAGTTTAAAGTGGGGCTGCATCTCTGCTATCTAAAATGGCCAAGCCTCAAAATTCCAAAAATATTCGGGATTTTCGGGATCGCCAAATAGCCAAACTTAAAGGACATTTATAGGGATCGTGGAGGATGGGGGCACCTTTTTCTGGGGCCCATAGAATTGGACCCCCTGGCCCAATCTTTTTGAAACTTGGGGGTTTTTTTGAGGTGAGACACCAGCAGCTATGCTGCAAATTTGGTGCCTCTACACAGCCCCCCCAAGCCCCAGATACACCCAGATTGATTCTCCATTATACCCTATGGGGACCATTGACTCTAATGGTCCCCATAGAGTATAATAGAGCTGAAAAAATAGGGTTTCCTGAATATTTACCGAATCCAAATTCCATACCAGTATTGGGACTCAGGAATATCGGGAAATACTGATATTTTTCGGATTCAATATACCTGGAACCCAAAAAATACCAGATGCTTTTTTTTGTACACCCCTAGCTGAATGCCTAAAAACTGAATACAGTGCTGGGTCAGGGAGGGGGGCACACCCTTTGAAGGAGAAATCACCAGGGAGATGCAAATTATCCCTGGATCTGGCAGCAAGGAGTGTGCCTGTGTGAACCAGGCCAAATAGTCATTTTGATTGGGAAGGACAGGATGTAGCATCCGTAGAAGGTTGATGCCCTAGTTGACAAGCTCCCTCTCTGATAATCCCTCTCTTCTACTCATTGCTGGTGGCTTTGGGGGAGATATTATTTATGTTGGAACACATGAACACACATTTCCCTTCCCTTCATCATAATCCCATCCAATCGTTTTCCATTCCATGCTCCTTCTCAGAAATCCTTGAAACTTCACAAGCTCGCCTATCACGTTGATCCATTTTACTTGTTGAAATCATTGTATGGCTGCAGTCCAGTTCCGTATCTATCAACGGTTCGCTTCACTGGATGTCCGTGTCACCCTGTTAAATTTGCAGAGATCTCCATATTCATAGGGGTTTGGATGCTTTCCACAGACGTTGCCTCCCTCGTGACATGAACACAGCAGAACAGCGAGCCTGGTTTGAATTAGAAAACTAAAGGAAGGATGTTAAATTAAAAATTAAAGGAAAGAAATACAGCCTATGGACTGTGAAACATGCAGGGCTCTTTTTGTAGCAGAAACGCCTTTGCATATTAGGCGACACACCCCTAATGTAGCCAATCCTCCAAGAGCTTACAGACCTCTTCTTACAGGGGCTACTGTAAGCTCTTGGAGGATTGGCTACATTAGGGGTGTGTCGCCTAAAATGCAAAGGAGTTCCTGCTACAAAAAGAGCCCTGAATGCATTGAATCCTCCAAGTCCACGTCAGATGCTGGGGACAATAATGACAGAGGGTTTTTGCCATATGCATTGCCTGTGGGCACCTTGGAGGCATCTGACCAGTCACTTTTGCAAACAGGATACCAGACTAAACAAGCTTATGATCCATTCCAGCAAGGAAATTTTTATATTCCTGTAGCTGCTTTAAAAAAGAGCGAGGAAGAACGTTTCAGCTGCACCTACGGTGAACTTTAAAACATAATTTTTACAATCGCTGGCAGAGGTCCAGTTCCGCAGAGTTAGATCCGATATCCCCCTTGCATTAACAGTCCCTCGGATGGAGGATATCTTCCTCCAATGGAAATAGCTTTAGGAGACAGCCATGTCAGTCGCCAGTAGAACAGCTAGATTTCAGTCCATGAGCACCTTAGAGACCGACACGTTTTTCAGGGTATGAGCTTTGAAGAGTGAAAACTCTCTTCATCATCATTTTGACTCCCGAAAGCTCATATTGTGGAAATCTTGCTGGTCTGTAAGGCGCTATTGGATTCGAATCCAGCTGTTCCTCCAATGCCAGTTTGATGTAGCGGTTAGGAGTGCGGACTCTAATCTGGGAGGACCAGGTCTGATTCCCTGCTCCTCCACATGCAGCTGCTGGTGTGACCTTGGGTCAGTCACACGTTCTCTCAGAGCTGTTCTCTCAAGAGCAATTCTCTCTGAGCTCTCTCAGCCCCACCTACCTCACAGGGGTTCTGTTGTGGGGAAGGGAAGGGAAAGGAGATTGTAAGCTGCTCTGAGACTCCGAGGAAGGGCAGGGTATAAATCCAAACTCCTCCTCCCCCTCCTCCCTTCTTCTTCTTCCTCTTCTTCCTCTTCCTCTTCGTCTTCCTCTTCTTCTTCCTCTTCTTCCTCCTCCTCTTCTTCCTCTTCTTCCTCTTCTTCCTCTTCTTCTTCTTCTTCTCTTCTTCCTCTTCTTCCTCTTCCTCTTCTCCCTCTTCTTCTTCTTCTTCCTCTTCCTTTATCTTCTTCTTCTTCCTCTTCTTCCTCTTCCTTTATCTTCTTCTTCCTCTTCTTCTTCTTCCTCTTCCTCTTCTTCTTCCTCTTCTTCCTCTTCTTCCTCTTCCTCTTCTTCTTCCTCGTCGTAGGGATTTGTTTTCTTGCTCT